TCCCATGAAACATGGATCAACTTTTACTTTATTGTAATAAATTGAACCAATCAGCAACTGAAATCCTCCATCTTTTTTCTTCTAGCTATTCTAGAAACAACCTATTTCTGTATTGTCTGCTGCCTCCTAATCAGGATGCTCTGCAATTGCTGTTGCAATTTAAGATGAAAATCAATGACTGCCAGATGTATTTTATCTGTAAAATATAACCAGATCCTCCTCGGACAAAACAGAGGGGTGGTGGTGGAGGTTGCCCTATCTCTGTCAAGTACATACTCTCCAGGAGAAGGGAGCTGTATCAGGGGCTGAGTGCCTTCTAGCTAGACTGAGCAATTTTCTGAAAGCCTGTGATAAATGAGGGGGTTGTTCTTGTCTTCTGTACAAACACCTGAAAAACCTGCCTTGCTGCCGCATATCCCAAATCATCTTCTTCACAGGGAAAATCATGTGGTGACTGGATTGTGATAAATATTTTATTCAGAAGATTGGAACAAATTTACATGAAATTACACTTACATTATACATTTGCATTACTACTACTTTTTTTTTTTCCCCAAAAAAGAAGGTATTTACCTTCTTTTACCTATCCTGTAATTTTCTCTCCAGACCAGCAACTTCCATCAGAGACTGAGTTAGAAGGACAAAGCAGTACAGTACAGCATAGTTTAGGGCCAAAAGCTATTGCCACATGAGAGTTATGGAAGGACTCCTAAGCAGAAAGTTTTTACCTGAACCTATTTGAAACTGCTAGGTCCGACCACGGCAGCACTGTGCTAGGTGCCCAGTTCACAGTGCCTCAGAATCATTGTGATTGGAAAAGACCTTCAAGATCATCAAATCATGGATGGGAAAAGTTTCTAGTCTACCTATTGCTTTAGAAAAATAAGCGTAGAAATCATGGAAGGGCAGCCTCTTGAGTTTTGGTTACTGAGATCTATCTCCTGTCAAGTTGTCTCTGTGAGGGTATGGGACTACACGCTGTTGCTGCTGCAACTGTTTACATGTATACATTATAACAACACATATGTATAATACACAGTGGATGTGTTGGGGAAAAAAATGAGGAAATCAGTTTCTGAACTATATGTGAACAACCTTTCTGCTTTTTGTCACTATCTTTCATTGAATTTTAAAATAAGAATGACAATAAGGAGACTTGGAAAAAAATGTAAATTACTCTTCCCTTAGGAGAACAGCATTTTGACTAACACGACTTTACTTTTTTAATTAAAATAATAGATAATCTCTCATGACACTGTAATTAATTTGGTGATATTCAATATTTATCTGGTGAATTGTAAACAGAATAATATGCCTAAATTGCTTCTCCCAAGTAACTTCTCATTAAAAATCAATTACCTACCATGAAAAGTCAGAAATCCTTCAAGCACTACTGAAGTGCATTCAGGATTAAAAAAGTAAAATAAAAGTATGTGAGCTGTAAAAATATTAATAGGCATCGCTCTGCTCATTCACTACCCAGATGTGCCATGGATTATCATAAAAAAAAAAAAAAAGCAGCGATAGGGAGAAAGCAGAATTGCAAGCTCCTACTTTTGGCTCTGCTTCATAACCAGCTCTTGATAAATCACATAAGGTCTCTGTGCATCTGTCTTTGTCCATTAGGATATTAAAAAACAGGGCAAATCCTTCAGTGCCAGCCTGAGCGTATTTGTTCTCCCACATCTCCTGTTCTTCTGCATCCCTAAGTGGGATCCCGGCTCCCACACACCTTGGCCCTCACAGCAGTGGCTGTGCCACAGAGCGCCCTTTGG